AATCTCCAGCAACTCAAAATTATTCGAAGATGCCGGGAATCTGTACAGAGGCGGCGAGACAGAACGCCGATATGGGACCCAAGTCTAAGCATCTGGGAGTTCAACCTATTACAGGCGAAAGAAACTCATTAATTCTAGCTTCGAGGACTGTATCCCTTTTCCTCCCGGAGGGAAGGCCAACACTCTCGCTTACATCGTCGGAACGACGGGATTCGACCCTCTTCCTCCCGATATCAGCTCTTCGGTTCTCGAGAGATGGAGCAGCTCTATATTCGTCGAGCATTCAATTCGGACCGAAAGATCATAACCTGTCAGGAATTCCGAATCCAGTCGGCGAAAAGCATAGACCCCGGTCCAGTTTGGTGGAAAACGCCAAGCTCATTTGCAATCGTCTTTCCGAGCGTTCAGACAGACCGACCGATCCAAGCCGGTGTTAGCTACGGTTTTCCACCCGCGGATTCCTGCGACCGTGTTTCGCGCGAATCGATTGCAGCTTTTTTCGTCTCATTCGTGGGTTCGAATTGCCATCTTCTCTATATACCATGCAGCCTAGGGCCTTCAGGTTGGAGCACGTCGAGCTTAGCCGAGACACGTCGAGGCTGGATGAATGAGAGCAGACCACAGTCTAAAGCAATGTCAGGAGGTTTCGTCGGAAGGTGGACCCCCACTCCGGGAAGGAGCGTTGAGAATCCACATCATGGTAAGCTCGGAGCTCGGACTTGAGAAACAAGATTTATTGAGAGTAAGGTGTCTCTCAGATATCTCAGCGCCGGTGTTCCTCGACTGCTGGAATCAGTCTGACGAAACCCATGACAAAATTTGTTTATGATGAACGAGTCCGAATCACGTGACAGCCAAAATCCGGCACTACCGTCTGGCCAGCAGGAGGCGTTGGAGCACGAATATGTCCCTCAAGAACAAGGCGACGGTGGTGGTAGTGATAGTGGTATTGGAAGTAAAGGCCGAGTGATTTTTCCTGCCGACTAGGTTTTTTTACCTGTTCTCGGTCGGGCAGTGCTTCCACCACAAGAAGACGCGCGGGGTAGAGGCGGGAGGGGGTCACAGAGCAGGGTAGCCATCGAGCGCTACGGGTCTTGTGGCGCACCCTGGCGAGGGCCTCCTCAACCCCCGTGTTGAGGAGCCAGTAGGTGGCAGCACATTGAGTTGAATCGGGGTGTCAGGGATGTGGCAAACCCTCTCTAATAAAAACATTCACTCGGAGAGTTCTTTGGAGAGCTTTTTTCCCGCTGCTGCTGCTGCTGCTGTCCTCCGTCGGTTGCTGCGAGCTCGGCTGGGACGTGGCTTCAGTCGAACGTTGTACGCTCGTAGCGGCAGCCTAATCTTCTTCTTTTGATCGTTTTCCGGGAGAAATTCCGGGGAATCCCTTCGGAGTTCTTGAGGTTCGAACGTCGACGAGAAGCGATCTGGTTGCGCTGGCTGTCCGACTGCGGCCGCTATATCATGTGTTTGTGCAGTTTAGTGAGTGACAGTTCGACGTGAATCCGATGCCGACCCCGAACTAGAGATGGTCTCGGCGTTCGCGCACTTCCGTCCGGGCTTGCGGGCCTTCGATTCGAGCCCTCCGAGTGCAGTCGTTTGGTCGTCGAGTGTTTCGAGCAGCAGCAGTAGCAACGACGGCGGCGGTATTATCGACGCTCGGAGTCAGCAGCAGCAGTTGGAAATCATGGGTCGAGTTTGAAACTGAGAAGACACAAAATGCCGCTCGAATGAACCGTCTGGCAGCGTCCGCGATGAAGAGTGAACTCCAGGCTAAGGACGTGAGTAGAGGAAAACGTTTGTTCGAGTCCGACTCTCAGCGGAGAGCCTTCGGGGGAGGATGTGGAACAGTTAGGCATAGGATGGATCGCTGCGTGGATCTATCTCGGAGAGATATTCGTCTTCCGATTGGTTCGACCAGTCTCTTGTTCTTACAGTGGAAGATCCACCGACCGAACCAGAGAGAGCGTGAACATGCACTCGGCCTTCTCGACTGGATTCCGACTGGAATCACTTAAAGGCCTAAGCGATCCTTTCGGTCGGAGAGGAGCGAAGACTTGTTCGATTGCGGAGAGAAATTGAATTCAATGTCTCGACCGGTGTGTTTTGATAGGCGCCGGCGGCCTCCTTGTGTGGTGTTGTGGTTGGGTATTTTTTCTTGTCGCGAAGTAAAAAATTCGGGAGAGGATCTATGAGAAAAAATAATACGAAAAAATAGCACGGCCCTCTCCAGCTCAGAGGAAGGGAAGCCTTGAAGAGACGTCGTCGTCGTCTTCTTGAGGCTGTACCGTCGCCGCCGCTACCGCCGCCGCACTGATGATTCGGGATGATCATCGAACGAACGAGCGACCGACCGACCGTACGAGCCAGCCAGCCAGCCAACCGACCATTTAAAGGAGCAAACCATAGAACTCCCTTCTGCTACAGCGAGGACAGCGCGGCGGTGGTAGCGCTGCGCGATGACGACGGCGACGACAGCCGCAGCGGTCGGGGATCGGGCAGAGCTGTCTGTGTTATTTTTAAATTTCCATCTGAAAATTGGTTCAGGAAGAAAAACATGAACAAAACAGTCGTCTGTCAGCCACGAAGCCACTCAGAGCGCTGAGGCTCGAGCAGTTCAATCCAGAAAGCTGAACTCTCCGGCGTCGAAGCGCACGGTTGTTCGGCTCGCACGAACATTGGTAGCGGCTACTTACAGCTTCCTGCGGGACGTCAAGGCGGGCTTGATAAAGAAGAGCCAGAGGAGGAGAACCGTGGGATTTGGAAACAAGAATGGGAGTGACTTCCGATCACAAAATGACTCCTTTCCTTCCACGGGAAACGCTTCCGAGTGTTGCTATGTAGCTCTTCAGGTGTCATGGGGAACTTTTTCCTGCATCCGATCAATGAGGATCGCATTTGCCATGCCCTCGGAATGAAACCCTTGCTACCCGCGAGGGAACCAGTTGGGTCCCCGGATCGCTCATCTCCACTTTTCCTGATCCATGTCATCGGAGTCTGCCCCTATCTGTAGCGCGAGAATCTATTCGTATCTCCCCTCGAGCTTGACTTCGTATGATTTCCACCCCTGACCTTCGGGATGAAATCCCCCTGGTGTCTCATCGATGAATGTTGGAATCCTCTAGGAAGTCTCATCCTATGTGTTGCTTCCGTTCCCTCATTTCCTAATAGAACTTGTTTGATTTTCCTAAAGTCCGTCGTTCTAATATTTGCAGCTGTGGATGTACAAACAGCAGCTGGACGCGGGTGCGCTGCCGCAGCCGGGCGCTCAGCCCCTTCATCAACAGCAGGTGCCGAATGTTCAGTCGCAATTCCACTACCCGACAGTGTCTGCTGCCGGACCGGGCAGTCCAAAATTGCCTTTGCAATCGAATTCGTCGAGGCCACCTCCCCCACCTGCACTACACGGAGCTCAGAGCGGGGCAGCGCATTTGCTGCGCGCTTCGCAAGGTGGCGAAGGTGAATCATCTGTGTTACCGGGACGTTCATCAACGCCGCGCCAGCCTCTACTCCCGCGACCTTTGGGTGATGCTCTTCACGCGGGTACGTAACTGTGCTCACGTCATGTGCCGATGACATAATATGTTGAGGGAAATGGTTCGGCGTCGGACACCGTAAAAACTGAACAATTATTTCTTCGGCAGGAGCACTTCAGCATTCGGTGGCAGGCTACCCCCGGGTCGTGGGCGTAGGCTTGGAACGTGAACGACCTCTGACCCATTCGCATCAGCATCAGTGCCTGCAGTGTTTCAAATCATTCAGCAGTAGCCATCAGCTAACCCAGCACACGAGAATACACACCGGAGAGAAACCCTACAAGTGTTCATTTTGTGACCGACGTTTCAAGCAACTCAGCCATGTACAGCAACACACACGGCTACACACCGGTGAACGGCCGTACAAGTGCAGCGTCGCAGAGTGCGGTCGAGCTTTTATCCAACTGTCAAACCTTCAACAGCATCTCCGGAATCACGAGAGTCAACTAGAAAGGCTCCGAACGCGACCGTATCATTGTCCTCATTGCGGCAAAGGATTCGCCTCCGATGCCTCATTGAGAGCCCACAGGGCAAAGGTGCGCAACGCGACTTCTTCTTCTCCCTCGTTCCTTGGTTCCGAACTTCTCGATCATAATGCGAGAGGGAATGAGAGGGAACTCCTCGTGTGCGATAAATTCCAATTCTTCGGGGAGTCGATGAAACTATCATCATTGAAAGCAATAATGATCCATTCGTTTTTAGGTGTGCCATCCCGCACTCCCGCAGGCGGGTGTCGGGCCCGGGCAGCTCGGCCACATCCAGTCACATCCTCCCAATTCGAATCATCAACAAACTTCGCGACATCAAGCCGGCGGACATGTTGCGGTGAGTCAGCCGAGGGGGCTTGAAACGGATCGGAGAGGGCGTGTGCACGATTTTCTTGAATCCAGTGACTAGCTGCGTTACAATCTGCAATTATTTCCCTCTTCTGCTTTCCAGAGAGCCCTAGCTGGAGCTCAGGATGAACTGGGTGCAGCTGTGGCTAACCCGGCCTCAAGCCAAGCAGGAAGCGGAATGAGTTGCGCCATCTGTAACAAGGGCTTCTCTTCCGGTGATTTGTTAGCAGATCATATGCGGACAAGCCACGCTTTCCCGATGGGCATGGCCGCGGGTCCTCAATATCCCCTCAAACGCAAACGGGGCAGACCCAGCAGAGCGGACATGGCCACCGAACAGCTGGCAAATTTCGTCGTGTACAATATTCCCAAACAGGTAAAGAAGGAGACTTCGAGAAGTCTCTCCATGAATGCCCGCATATTTCTCCCGTCCGGAGGGAATCTAGGATTCTAGTCGTACTAAAATCGAATCCTCTCCGACCCACCATGCCGCTTGATCCTCGTTCTTCCGTTTTTTCCAACTAATTCCCTGTTCTTCACAGGAGGCTGAGGATATCGAGGAACAAAGTCACCAGCAGCAACAGCAAGCCGCGGAGGCTCTTCAGCGGACGTTGGTCGGCTTAGCTCCTTTCATAATGCAGAATCCACCTTTGCAAGGGTATCCTCCACTCATGATGGAAGCTCCACCGTCTCTGGGTCAAAACTGAGAGAGTACACGTTGTTCTCATTTTAGCTCCAGTTGTAGACAGATCGTCACTCGGCTGGCTTGCTGATTGACTTACTGACTGATTGACTGAAAACCGGACCCTAAACTGCTTCAATCAAGGTCTCCTCAACCACTGATACGCGTCTCCTGCCCGGTGCCACATTCGTAGTCCCTCCTGCGTTAGATTTTGTAGATGGCTGAAGCGGCCGCAATGCATCGTTCGTTCATTAATCCAATCGATCATGTGATTCTTGAAATTATAGATATTCTTATACATGATTTCCGAGTCATTTTCATCACAGTCATAGGTGATATTTGGTAATGAGCTACCACATTTGATACTGGTGCCAGTTGGCAGCGACAATGCGACGGTTCCGAATTGAATTCGTCGCTTCCCGATGGAGATGCGGAACCGTCGAGAGCCTAGTTTGTATTGGAATTGTATATTTAGTGGAGTTACGACTCGAAGAAATGAGGTTTATCCGAAGCAATCGGAGTGAGCATCCAGAACTCCTGGGCATGAAACCTGCGTCTCGAAACGACCAAATCTCGTGGCCTGCGAAGTGGACATCATCCACCGGACGCAAGGAGTCAGGGAGAGCGAGTTAAGGATGAAGAGAGGCAGGATAGGAAGGCGGCAAGAACAATTTCATGTAATTATAGTACTTGTGAAGACTCTATCCTGAAGAACAATTACATAATCTATTGAGTACCTCTAGATTGCCCTAGAAACGACCCGATCGAAGTTCAGCACTTTCCCAACTAACCCCTAGACTCGTCGCTCCATAGCGCACCTGCGACAGTCGAGTTGGGCCGTAATCCACGGAAGGGAATTCTAATCCCAATTGAAAGTTCTGCTGCTCTGTTCGACTATGAATTTTTCATACGAAGGGCTCAGCGACCGGGACGAAAAATCTCGAGTTCAGTTTCCACCGGTTCGATGAGACGACGACAGCATTGATTACCATGATGAGAATGGAACAACGAGTTATCTATTATGACGGCGACAGTGGTTTCCAGCATGATTTAGTGTATGAAAATATTGATGAAGGCGGAACTTTCGACGAACCGATCGGAACGTCATTTTTGATTCTTATCATTATTGTACTAGTTTCCTCAGTTGAAGCAGACAACCCGGTAAGAAGCGAAGGAATCCATTTTGGAGATGCTGGCAGATCTGTAACATATTCAAGACCACCGCCAACGTTTGTAGTAGCTGAAGCTACGCAGTGCATGGAACTGTATGGGGAAATTTATTGAGAATTGAGCTGGAGAAGAGAACGTTGATGGAAACACTTGACGACGACTAAAATAAAAAAAGAATGTCTCCTCAGTTGTAGCGAAGAAGCGACTCTTCAAGAATCGTTCCTAGGGCTTGACGTATCTTGGCCTTAACGAGGCGCGTTGCCCGCCCTTGATCACGCCGTACATCTCGCACATCCGTCCTCATCCTCCTACTCTTTGAGGGGGAGCTCGTCTTGCCACATCGTATCGCGAGGAACCGAGTCTACGCGTGAGGAATCTCTCTTGCTATTTGATGGGGAAGACTCTCAATCAAATCACTTTCAACCCGGGAATCCATCTGTCGTGAGGCTCTCTTCCCCACCAGACGGCGCTGCTCATCCCGGTTCTCATGATGATCGGAGGACTGATTAGAGGTGCGAATATAAACGTATTCTGTCAAGTGGTTGGATGGGTCCAAGCCACGGGTTCCTGATCGCCCAATATATATCGCCAGAAGAAGGATGGCAGCCGAACGAGGTATTTGAGAAGAGACTTGAGCCGAGGACTCTGGGAAGATTGGTTCCTCAAGAAGGAATGAACTGCGGTATCGATACCCCTGTAGCGCAGCGGAAATACGTTCGGAAGTCTACGGAATACCGTACTCGATCTTGGTCAGCAGCTTCTGGAGCGGTGATCAGCGCCTCGCATCTCCCGAATGGTTCACGAGGGGCAGCAAACTAGGTATGTGTATTATGCGGGTCTTTGCTAGTTTTTGATGAATCGCAGGCGATCGGGGAGCTTTCTCCCGAGTTTCATCGATGGATAATCCGCTACGCCAAGCGCTAGACGTGATCGAAACCGAGCCAGTAACCCGAGATCCTTGGTCCTAGATGCATTTGCGCTCTTGAGAGAACCGCGATCGAGCGCCGGCACAGCACGCCTTGAATGGAACTCAGGCCTGATCTTCGTGGAAAGGGTGCCTCCTTCATGGAGCTCAATGAGGGTTAGTACATGCAAAATGACTTTTGAGAACAAGAGCAGCGGGCTTCAATCTGCGGAAAAGGCTGACTGAACGAAAACTTCATTGAGGACATTGTTCCAGGGATATTTCCGAAATCCGAATCCCTTCAGCAGCGACTACTTCCTCGCGCGAAACTGCGATGATATTCGGCATTCACGGTGTTCGAGATTCAAGTCAATTCAGGCATTCAGATTCATTATTCGTCGGAGAGAACCGTCGTACAGGTCAAATTGAGCTCAGGAATATCGATATCGAGATTCCTCACAACTGGCGTCATCGAAGACGTGCTCGTCCGTTCTCGTGTGACGTACAATTCCAAGTAATAATGATTCATGGGTGCTTCGTCTCTCAAATGCAATCCCGCCTCACATGTGTTTTTCTCGCATACATCGAGTTCGATGAAGACACTGGAATCCTTTCTGTACAGCCGAAGCCAGATGACAGTTAAAGACAGTGCATCTTGGAGGGTGTATTTGAAAATTCCTTTACTTGGCTTCCCCGATGAAGGGTTGACGTCTTTTAAATCAGAGAGAGCCGTACTCGAGTCCGCATTGTCGAAGGCGCAGTGCTTGCCTTTCCAGATCGTTCCTCTCAAGACGTGAACGTCTCCGGGGATATTCGATTTGTGGTCTTCTCGCCTGAGAGCGAACTTCACGGACAGAGCTTCCGCTTTCTTCGGGGCGTCTGATAGAACCGTTTCAATCCCTCTTCTGAAGAATGGCTTCAAGGGACAATGAGGATACGTTTGAGCCGAACCACAGGGACCTTCTTCTCTGATCTCGGTCTTCCTGGGAATCACATCTGACTCCTCCGGCGGTCGAGTCACTTGATCGATCACCTTCGGCATTCCTCGGAACACCAGGAAAGCTACGATTGAAAATACGACACAGCCTGTGAGCACCAGCATAATTATTGTTCTCGTCCGTCGCTTGCCAGCTGCAGGTTTTTTTCCAAGTGGAGCTCTCTCGATCTCCTCAAAACCTACAGCCAGTGCTGACAATGCGTCATCTACAGGAGCGTCGGCCGACGGTCTCTGTGCGTCTTCATCATTCGAAAGAAATTCCGACGACACTCTGTCTTCAGCGGAGTCCATTTACATCCAGCCGTAGAGCACAAGAACTGGTGACGGACGGACGAGGAGTCGATCCGGTCCAGAGACACGCTCAGCCCAAGGTTGTATTTTTCGGGACCTTGCGGGACATGTAGGCTTCGTTGTCATAGAGCGAAGGAGATTGAATATCCACGCAGCGAGGATCCTTCCGCCCGTGGAAGTCGTCGGATGAAACGTCCTCGCGAAAGCGCTCAGGGCGCCGAGTGATCGCGGGTAGTCGATATTGAAATCTGCCACGTCACGAGTCGGTGTCGTTCGGCAAGGGGTTCATCGAAATCTGGGATATTATGACACAGGAAGGCAATCAGGAGCCCAGCATTGATCCCTTAGTCGAACATCCTTGGTTGAATTCGGGTTGGAGTTAATCTCAAAGCGAGAACTTCCAGGCAAAGAGCTTCCGCGTTGTCTTGCTCAGCTCTGTGGCCGTTCCCCTCTCGATCGTTCGGGTTCCACGCGATGCATGCGGCTCCTCAAGGAGTCGATCACACAACCTCAATGGAGTCGCTGACTGACACATGAGTGAGAGGGTACGATAATCCAGATAATGATCCTCAATCGGATGCGCACCTATGTGTGGCAATGAGACAAACCGAGCTCTCGCGTATCCATGTCGCACTCCATCAAAGCTCGAGCCTCAGAAGTGGCGCGAGCATCCCGCTCTGCCTCATCGAGAATGCTTCTATTGGATTCCGCAGTGACGTTGTGGTATTCATTGACGTGGTAGACTCCCCTCATGAGCCTAATGGAACGCGCAGGATCATCTGCGGCGTAGGCGGGAAGCTCCCGCGCGGTTTCCGCATTAACACCTCCCTCACTCGCGGTTTGTTCTGATTCCACCAGCTCAAGCGGACGGTATCTCGGAATCTCAGGTCGCCCTGCGCACGTGTATTACGCCTAGCGCTCATGTGGAAACATCCCCGCTGTTTGGCGGGCTTGTCAATCAACGTTGTTTTCCGCGGACGTTCGAGTGCGGGGAACGTGTACTCGGTCTAGAGCTGCACTGGAATTCTGAGATGGTGTCGGAATCACGGCGGACTCAGAGAGACCAGACCGTGGATCCCGTCGGTACGGAAGACAGACCATTGCTTCGTATGTATAGCGGAATTTCCGAAAACCCATACGTTCTGTCGGGTACAAATCTTTGTTTCGGCCGAGGGGTCACCTTGGGAATGAAGAAGGTCGCCCATAAAATAGATGTCCGATCAGAGCGCGAGGACTCAAAAGTTATGATGTGCCTCTCAGGCCCTGAACTCCACGACCGGCAATTCCCCCAAGGGAGGGACCGTCTTCTTTTCTCCGGCGCCTCACGTAGGAAACAGTTCATTGAGATGGTTCCGAGGGAGCGTGCAGTCCCTGGGTTGACCTCCGCAAGTGCATCGCTCTGGAGATTTTAGTGGAGAACTTGTCCTCGTAATCGTCAACCTACCCAGCAAGTACGGAATGATTCCCAGTCGCCGACTGGGCATTCTGGAGGAGTGTTTGGAGCGACCAGAGTTATCCCGATCCAAAGCCCGAATATCTTCGCGTTCATCGTGTGGTCCCGCATGGAGCTCGGAGAAATTCTTCCACCACTTCTTGATCCCGCCTCACAAGGTTTTCCCGACGATCATTCGGGGGCACCAAATCCTCTCAGAACTGTTTATTCAATGATAACGTGGAGAGGATGCACGCCCTGAATCTCAGGTTGGCGGCTCAATGGCTTCGAAAAGCGAGTCGCCGTGATACCGTTGCAGGAGCCTTCAGCGAAATACCCTATTAGCCAGCTCGAAACAACTTCAGCGTACACTCCTTGAAGACCCGGCTCGACCAATGGGTGTGTTCGTTTGATCTTTTCGGCCAGCACCCTACTGTGCCATTTCAACAGGCTCGTCAGCATAGAGAGCCGCGTCTGTTACCCACCGCAACAATCACGTCATAGGCGAGACGCACTGAGTTTCAGCGCCAGCCAGAAGAAATGAAATCGAGCTCACGGTTTGAGACTTTGAGCCTACGTGAAAAGGTCGGTGCTTAAAATCGGAGGGACGCTTTACCGGAACTCAACGGAGACCTCCGAGCCTGGTCTCGCCTCGTTGACGATGGAGGTTCTCACCGAATGAGACACTGCCGACACCTCGCTTGTGGATGTGAATGCCGAACATCCGAGCCTCCCGAACGCCCGATAACGACGCCATGGAAATGCGAGCAGCCGTCGATCGCCTTCCATAAGTAGCTACCAAAGGAATAAACACCAGCTGAAGGGACGATATTAGGGTATCTCATTTTCGAAGTAATTACGTGAAAACGACTCTGATGCCTGTGACATCGATCCCAGAGAGCAGATGGTGCTAAATGCAGTTAGTTCCTCATCTACCTCGTGTGTAATTAGGTCTGTCTTCATCGGTCGTCTTCAGAGCGATTCATAGACCCCACTCCAAAGCTCCTACGATCGAGAGGGAAAGACGCCTCGAGAATTTCATGATCCGTCGACGAAAATTTCAGATCTCATATCGAAATCGCTCAATCTTTCTGCGACTTCCCGCGTTCATTGCGAGTAGGAAAGCGATGGCAAAAATGATCTCATGCGCTCCTTCAAGCTTAGGATGCGGTTGCCCCTCCGGGAGGCGGAAACTACCGAATCGGAAATCAGTGGTGAATGAGGGTGCCAAGGAGCCTCGACAAGCTGTCGCTTCAACACGATCGGTATTCTTTGAACGCTCGAGATAAAGTGTGGTTGGCCAGCTCGAGCGCTACCGGATGAGCAATGGTTCATAGAGAGATACTCGTTGTGTTTGGCGTTGTGCTCAGCTCAGCACATTGTAGCCGCAGGCACAGAGCTCGGGACAATTCTCTTTCATCGTCGTCGTCTTTGTTGGTCATCGAGCCCGCGAATCTTTTAACCCCGCCGGGATGGGTCACAACAGACTCCGCGCCATCGACGACGACATTTACCATCACACCCATGGGGAAAGATCGTACGAATTCGTATTCGGAGACGATATATCACAGAGATCCCTATGCTTACGCAAGTCAAAATCTCGACGGTAGTCTCAACACGAACGTCAGATGAGTGCAGCGCGGAAACGAGCCGAGGCTGAGATTTACTCTTCCTCTCCTCTGAGCTCGATCATTCGACTCCCAATCTCCTATCCATATAGATCGGGGAAAAGCTTTCGCTTCATTCTCTCAACGAGAAACATGTTCCGCGTGGAATGGAAAAATGCTTGGAACTATGGAAAGTTGGTCCGGATCGCGCGAGTTTCCATTTCGGTCCACAGATGGCGCTCTCAAAGACACCGCCGGCTGTCTTGTTGTTGGTGATGGCTATGGCGGCGACGGTGGCGGCAGCGGCGCGGACTGATTGCAGGAAGAGAAGCGGCGAAGTGAACCAACCAAGCCTGCTCTATGTTGGGTCCGCCTCTCGCATCGAGGCAACGGACTGTCTATGAGACTGGCTGCCGCTTGCTTGACTGCCGGATCAACTGACTGTCGGACTGTTGCCTTTCTTCCCGGCGGCGTTAACGCCAAACGTTCTACGCTTAACTACGGTGAACACGGCGCTGCCCTTAGAACGCGCCGAGAATCCCCAGAGCTCGTTCATCTCGAATAAGTGCCCGGTCTGTCGTGCTTGCGAACAAACTGCTTGTTGTCATCGACTTCCCCGACGAGCGGAGCTCTTTCCGTCCCCGCGCTCCCTGTCCCGTGCGGGGGGGTTCGATTCACCGGAAATTCGCGACGAAGGTCACGGAGTTTGTGGAAGTTGTGAGCATCAGGACTCAGGACCCCTCTGTGCAATTCTGTGGAGAGAGTCACGGATTTTCCCCGTCGAACGGAATTTCCCGATAGACTCTCTCATATTGAGTTTCCCCGAATTCCCGACCTGTCGGACGTTTCTCGTCAGTGGCGCAACGTGCGGAGTGTCGGAACAGCTGACCTCCGAAGCGCACGAGACCGTGTTAGTAATGTGGTGAAAGTCGAGCCAGTAAATTTGTACTGAATCCGAGTTCTCCGTTAAGTTCGGGAGTTCGGACCTGGAGGTGCCGAACATGGAAGAAGCCAGAGCTACTTCTACATCCGTTAGCGCGACCCCATCTGCTCCGAGGAAGGCCAAAGACTTCAGTGTTCGATCTCTGCTGGAGGACGTCGCTCCTCCACCTGAACCGGTCCCGCTGCCTATAATCTCCCCCCTGTACTATCAGCATCTATATCAACAGATTCTGTTGCAACAACAGCAGCAGCAACAACAACACCTGGGTCTACCATGGAACCCTTTGGCGAATGGTTTAGGACTCGGGCTGGGCTTGCCCCAGCCGGCATTGACTCTGCCTCCTCCAGCATCTTCGATTCCGTGTCTTGGCACAGCACCAGTGAAAGACGATGGCATACGAGATGAGCCTCAAGTGAATCTCGAGGCGAAAGACCTCTGGGACAAATTCCACGCTTTCGGGACAGAAATGGTCGTCACGAAATCTGGGAGGTGAGTTGGCCTGCCATTCTCTTTTTGTTTCTCAGAATTACTATCGAAACATTCCTCACATGATAGTATCCCATGATGGCTCCGAGCTACGAACCACTGTTCATTTGGGGGGAGGAAGCTTATCAGTGCGGATAAGCCTTCGGGATTCCTCTCGAAAGAAGTAGCAATGTCGAGCGTCATCTCGATTGTTTCCGAGAAGGTTCCATGAAATCGGAAATGTAAGAGGACCAGATTCAAAATCGATATTTCGTCGAGCTTTCCGTGGGGACTCCAGGCTTATACTCGCTGAGCGTGCCGAGTAGAGAAGATATAATCATCGCTCGTGAAGTGGAACAATCGAAGGGTTGTCGAGTCCGTGAGGCTTTCGGAGGAACGTGCAGGCCGTCAGGTGTACTCCTCGTCGTGCGAGGCCGCTTTGCCTCGCGAGTGAGTTGGGCCAGGGAAACGATTTTCCCGATCATTTCATCGAGAGGCTAAACAATGTTCGGCATTCGTGTATCGGGGACGATCAAAAGGCGGATACTTCGGTCGGATAACTGATGCGGGATTCAGAGGGATGAAGGTATTTTCCGAGTATGGGGACAAGGGTTTTCTTTCCGCAGCCTCCCTGAAATTCATTCTAGCCCTCTTCTCCGCGCAGACTGAATTCAGTGAACACCCCCGGTCACAACTTGGATTAACATGTGCTCCAGAATAGATTCGAAGGCCTCGAATGTTCTGCGAAAGTCGTAAATCATTACCGGCGGAAGCTATTAGGGATTATCGATAGCATTTACCTAAGTATCGTTATCTCCCGGTCCTACGCCGCGCCGGCCGTCAGTTCTGAGCTCTGAAGCGGTGAGCAAGTCTTTAGCGGAACGAATGCGGGCTGACATTTGATTCAACTAGAAACTCTTACCCGCACTAAGCTACACTCAGAGACCAGATTTGAAAACACTTTTAGGCACAAATGGACATGATGACACTCGAGAAGAGACCGGGATGCTTTTTCTCTGGGCCAGTGGTGTTCGCTCCAATGGGGCAGAACTCACGATTTGCGATCTCGATCCCAGTCGCTAGCGGCAGTGTTGAGCGTATTTCACATTTCGGCGGCTATACCGGCATTTTGAATCATTTCATCGCCTCCTCCCTAGATTATTCTAGCATGCGATTCAGAACATCATCGGACCGGTAACTTGCGGAGGACAAAGCGTCCAACTAAAGCAGCGATGAGTTTTCATATCCGAGCGAGGGTCTCGGCTCCCTACAACAATGGAAAGCGCAAAATTTTCGACTCCGAACGCAATGCTTCATTTTAGCAAGTCACAGAACATAGAATCGTTCAGGTTGCGTAGCGCTGATTCAACATGTTAATGAGAATGAGTGTTTGACCGAGGCAGAGGATTACCTCGCGTCGTTATGAGACAAAGCTTCCGTTCGTGATCATCGAGAGTCGTCGCGCGTATCTAGAAAAATGTAATACAGCAGAACTCAGGTGGTATCATACAGAGGCTCAGTCATAGTGACAACTCGTCGGTCCGCCCTTGATGCTGGCAGCGACCAATGGGCTCAGTCGTTCGCTCACCAAGGTGTTGAACATTAACACCTCCCTCGATGACGTCACACGCCCGCTGCTCTATCATTGGTCGGAATCCCTCGTACATTGAGCATCTCGAATTTCTCATGATTGCGATGATCGATCACGAGAAGCGAATGTATCTATGGGTAAAATATATTTCGAGTCCATTCGCAGAATGATTCACACTTTTCTAATTCCGCTAGCGAGGGAAACTGAGGACATCAAGGATATCCTGGAAATTATGGCAACCACATGTACGCATGCGATATCCTCCAGGCCAAACCCGCGATGTTCGACGCGTGCTTTTCCGAGCTGGTAATCACCGCATTGGGACAAGTAGGGTGATTTCTGGGCTTCTCTTCCCAAACTGGCGGTCTCCGTTAGCGACGAATCGTCTCGTCCGAGGTACCGTCTGCGGCTACACCGCGATTACTGGCTTCTTACTTCGACGAACCTTCATAATTCATCCGCGACTGCTTAGTAGATCTGCTTTCGGTGTTCGAGGTAGAAGTTGAAGACAAATACAGGGGCGCGGCTGAATCTCGTTCCCTTGGAATGACTCCATTTCCGACGCCCTCCCGAGAGACCCCCGGAAATCGGAAGAGCGATGCTCAGAGTTCCGTACATGCGATGCAGGGCGCCCATGACAAACCGCTTGGAACTGCCATTGCCTTTTCACTCGCAATGATTGCGCGGAGTCATCAGGGTGGAACTTTCCCCCATCGCAGCCCTTCTTAGGCTTGCCCTGATAGGCGAGCGCTGATGGGGATTGGAATCACCTGTGGTCAGTAGAGAATTTAGAAACCGGAATTTCGGTGTGAAAGTTCGCCCGGAGCGCTCCCGGGTGAGACAGCGGATTGTCCACTGTACTCTGGAGAAAGAGCTTATTCCGATGAATGAGCGGCTCGAGCCGCTAGTGATCGAGATGCGCCCCGACGACAGCGTCAGCCAGAGAGCGAAAGGCAAAAGACGCCACAGAGGAACTTTCGGGTTTGGGGAGAAAATGGAGCACGATGGAGAGGAAAGAACGTCATTCAGCGAAGTCATGCTGGCGATGAAACGATCTGCCTCCGTATTTCTGGCGCGATTAGCGAACACCACGATAAACGTTCAGTTCTCAAAATCGCCGACGCGCTCCTTCTCCTTCTGCGGTTGGTTTGTGGCTACGACAACGACCGCGACGTCAACGCCAAATGCTCCTCGAGCGAGACCCGAAAGAGTGGGACGTCGAACAGATCGTTAAGTGGTCAAAGCAAGTGTGTGAACGACACGACGCGCGGGTGATTGGGCTCGAGTCCAACGAGGGGCCGAAATTTTTGGGGGAATTGCCACAAATGACTCCGTACCGTTTAAGGACGGTAAGGCGACCGCAGGATGTTCGAACGCGGAATTCGGTACGCGAATACGATCCGAGAGGAGACTTCTGTGAAACTCTGAGAAGGAGGGAAAATATCACTTCGTGCAGCGAGAATCGATGAGACGTCTCGATCGCTTCTGCTGAGCCGATGCGGTGCCTTTGAGGATGTTTATGCTCCACTCAGTCGCGCTCCGGCATCGGGAAAGCGCCAGAGATCTCGTACGATTGCCGAAAGAGCATCACAATGAGCGATTTCCTCTTCTAGACGAATAAACAAAATCCTGTCGAAACGAGCGTGGGCGAAGACGAAGTATCAACGAGCCCCAGGGAGAGGAGTTTAGGCTTCTGCAGCTTCTAATATCCTGGATTGCTTCTCGCATCGACTGCCGCAATGCAAGAGGGTTAGCATCGCCCGGACTCAGGCCGTGCGCAAGATTCTCTTGAATCCATTCCAAATTCGCGGGTCTCAAAATAGTGCTGAGATCTGATATCTGACCTGAGAGCCCTGCGGAGACCTACGAGATTAATCCCTGGGAATCCGCAGGACAATTCCACAGACAGGGAACTGACTCAGGCGGCCTTCTCCTGTTTTCGGCAATATTCCAGTCTGGAGCGGGATGCAGAAATAAAAACACGGAGGATACCCTTCGCGCCCTGCTCGATTCAGGCTTGACAAGTGACCGTAGCTCTCGAAACGTTCAATGCAGCCGCTCGGTATCCCTTCTTCTTTCTGTATACCGGAGCGCGGCCGTTCATGGTCAGTGGCCAGAGCCGAAACGGAAAAACGTGAACACGATGATGATAGATTTAATCATAATGACAGTGGCGATTGCGATAATGATGATTCATCACAGACATCGATGATCTCAAGTGCTGTTAATGAAAATTGATGCAGAGTCCTTCTAAAGGCATAATGGCCGTTCGAGGCAACAGCTGAGTAAGTGAAAGATCGATAAGCCAGAGTTGACCTATGGAACGCGAATGGGGTCCAGGCTCGTGCTAACAAGCTTAGCCCCGATGAGAAGTCATGGAGCATATCCAACCGAATCCCAGAGCACCGCAGTATAGAGAGAAAACCGATCGGATAAACTGAGGTCTGGAACCTCGAAGTTCTCATTTAGTTTCCCCGACGAAGGGATGAATTTTGATGCGCGAACGCACAATTCACGCGGAACAAGGCTCGTCGTTGTTACCGAAATGGCAGAATTTCTCGCTGCCTCCTAAACTCTCAGGAATGCAACGACGTTCGCGTAACACGTTCTCGAAAAGTAACAAGAGATATCGGGGGTAAACTTTTGAGCTTCACACTGAAGCGCCCTGAGGGGGTGCTATCCTCATGCGGGCGGAACAGTTGTTCCGAGATGTCTTTTTCATTCGGTTGAGGTCTCTCTCAATCCCGAATGTGTTCAGATAACTCTTCACGGTTCCTTTCTCGTTTTGGCGTTTCTAGTCTTATGCGGGTCTTCATCGTCGCTCGCATCAACACGATGACCGTCATCATCGCTCGTTCATCAGCATCGTACCTGTTTCGAAACATTTCTCAGCTTTCCTCGGAAGGGATCAACAAGAACAAACTCACGTACTAGTCTCCGTTGTTGGAAAAAACTGACTCGGGGAATCAATCTGACCATTCGCGCTCAAGCCTTCCGAGGGCGCTGATGGTTCTCGACGTCTGCCATAAGATCTCAATTATTACGAATCGTCATGATCGCCGAACAGATCGGGAGCCCGCAGAGAATCGAGGAGCTTCAAATCCCACGAGTTTCTGTCCAGAAGAAGTTTCCGGACAACGGAAATCATTTTCCGCGCTATGTTCTTCTACCCGAAAGGCAATTCACCTAAGAATAAGCTATAATGCAAGACGAAAGTGCATAACTTTCGGTATGGCTTCTCGATCCGCGGCCAACCAGAACGTCGACTTTCATATTCGCTTGAACGATTTGCGTAGATTTTTGGGCGGCGGCAGGAGCTGCTGATGCGACATGAGGGAAGGAGTCTATCGTTCGGTCGAACAGACAGGCGCTCAGTCGAGCGTTGATCGAGATCGGCAGCGAGAACCGTTGTTTGGTACTTCATTACAGTGCT